TTTGCACCTTTTTATCAGTGAATTGGCGATAAGATAGTAGCAGAAAAAATAGCCTAGCAAATCTACAAATTGGGCATACAAAATTTTGCCAGCAATCGAAATATTTCCAGTTGTCAAATCCTTATTAGACTCGACGACTATGTTACTTACTTATTGTTGCTGACTCGTTCATCCAATGTATAGCCAAATTAGCCAAATTCTTATTAGACTAAATTACTCTGTTATATAACAGTGCAGTCTCAGGCTTAGTACACAATACTCTGTTAGCTAACAGAAATATCGCTTACATTTAGTGCTGGCTAAACGTTAACTTGTTTGAGCTCTGTTAGCTACCTCGCTAGGGTTAACACAAAGTGCCTAAATTGAAAAGTAAATATGATAAATGATTCAATTTTCTTTTATTCAATTTACCTAAAATGCTGCGGCACGGCGGCTCATAGCATTGAAATGAATGCAAAGTTCAAGGCTAACTAGGTATGTGCGCAGCTAGCAAATTCATGCCTTAAAGGCATCAGCAGGAATGCGGCTGCCATTGCCAATAATACCCTGTACAATGCTGGCCGGCGTGAGCAGCGTTTTCTATTGCTAAATTGAGGTGCTCTAGGCGCAGTAAATGCAATTTCGCAGTACAGATTTAGCCTTTTTTGTCAACTGACTCAGTCGGCAAACTATTTTCTTGGTCAGAAATGCATTCTGTGATAGTTCTCATCTAAGCAAAGTATAAATGATGTCTCATCTAATACCCTGTTACATTTCATTCCAGCAACTGTTGCAGTGAATTAAAAGAACAAAAAGTAATATGCCAATGAAATATGGTTAATTCGTATACAAAGCGTTGCAAAGAATTGTGAAAAAATAAACAAATATAAAAGAAAATGGAAAAATGGAACAAGGCCCACAAAGGAACTTAAACTCATAAAAAAAATTAAATTTATGGAGTATAAAATGGCTTTTGTTTTTGCTTTTACAATGCCAGAATACCCCATTTTTTATTTACCCTTTGCCATATTTTCCGGCATGTTATCTATTTCGTTATCTATCGCCAATTAACATATTGGTTTAATTTCGCCATAAACTGCAAGTAGAATGAAGACTGGAAGATAAATTGGACTAGAAGACATAGCAGAGAAAACAAAAGAAAGCGCAAAAGCAGAGTAATGCAGCTAGCAAAGCAAGTGTAAAATGCGAATTGGAAAATATTTCAATGGTTTTTGTCCATTAGCACCGATCCGAAATCCAATAAGAACCAACTGAATCACTGACTTCAAATAGTGGCACTACACATATGACATATGAATGTGTGTAAGCATATATGTATATACAGGCCACATATATACACATTCACAAAAACAAAAACATCTCACAACGAAAACAAACACAATGCTGGCTTATATGTATGAGTGTGACTATGAATGGATTCACATAATAATAAGTGAAACATCTGTCGCAGCATTCGCATTTTCCGTTGAAAAGTGGCTTTCCACCAAACGAAAAAAGCGTTGGTATTGGGGAAAATAGCAGACACTAAGACTGAGCTCCGTCCGCATCGTCGGCGCGCGAGTGTGTTGGTGTGCTTGTGAGAATGTGTGTGTGTTATTTTTACATTTCCGCTGCTTACAAAAATAAGTGCATGTAGCCAGCCATCCACATTAAACAGCATTCCAAGCATATACACACACAAGCACACACACACGTACACAGAAGAGGCGGTGGAGCAACATAACGGGGTAAAACCAGAGCAAATCTTATGAATATGTATTTGTAAACAAACGAAATATATTATTATAACATATAAAAGAAATGTATATTTAGTTTTTGTCTGTGGTCAAATTATATATGTATATGATTTGTATTGGGAAATATTGATGTACTGTCCCAGGCAAAGGTCACATCATCTATGGCAGAACCGCTTCCGACGAAAATGCAGCAGAAAAGAGAACGAAACATGTACCATGTAAACCCACACACAGATGCACATGCACACTGACGCACACACACACTCGCAGAATGCACACGCCTTCACAAATATTGTTAAGCGCAGGCATATGCATATTAAACAAGAATGTTTATATTTATGACTATACGAGACACGTCCCACCCAAAGAATTTGTTAATATATTTTTTTGTTTCCCTACTGATAAAATATCTTAAGCAAACATTATTTACCAGTTATTTTCGTTTTTATAATCCAATAAGTACGCTATGTATACATATGCACATATACATGTATGCGTCTGTCTGCGCTATTTGGCTGCAATTGTATTAATATGAAAACACAAGCACAAAATTTAACGCAAAAAACCTTTTGCGCGTTGTCGTTTTGAAAACTCCAAAATTTAGTTGGAAGCAAAAATTTCACTAAATAATACGCTCGTCTTGTTTACTGCATACTATATACAATTGTAAACTAACTCACACACACACACACACACACAAATATACACATACGGGTATGTATGAAGATTTATTGGACAACTACCAATTCATCATTTCACTATAACGTTTTCTACAATGCATTTTATGATGCTTAAATAACTTTATTTTTAAGTGCCGATAACTTTTACTATTTTTATATTTCCTTGCATTATTAGATGTGCTTATATTTGCACTAGCGAATCGTTTACAAACAAGTCGCGACGCGAACCCACGTCAAGCTCCGTTTCTGTCTGTAATCTGAACAATTAATTTGGCGAGTGTGGCCGCACTTGACAATGTAAATACCCCATAAAATGCGAGGATTTTAATTGTGGTTACTTTCAGTATTTTTTGGTATAAATACTTAATAAAGCACAGTCACACTTTATTATGGAATTCGCTATTTTAAACGAAATTTATTAGTAATGATATACATATATAACAACTTTACTATGCCTTTATTTATATGATAGGCTATTTTTTATTTTTAATATATTTCATATACTTTCTCGCATTAAAGTTGTCTTCCACTTCGTCCATAATCTTGACCTTTTTACGCGGCTTTCGAGCCTCCAAACGCGACTTACGCTCCGCCTCGGATAATGTACTTAAATCCAATGGCAGCTGAACAGAATGGAATATATTCAATTTGTAAATATCATTCTCCTAAATATGTATCATCTTATATAATTACTTTGATTATTTTGCGGGGCTCGTGGTATCGAATGTTAATTGTAGATCCATCAGGGTGCACAACAACTGTCGGATAAGTACGACAGTAGACAGAACGATGAAGTCGCGTCACTGATGCAGTGGCCGATGAGAGGGCACGCGTCTGTTGTAATGCTTGAGGCAAAAGCTTAAGCATTTTAATAATATTGTTATTAAACGCAATATTTAGAAGCAATTGATAACCCAAATGTGTTCATCGAGTGTGACCAGCTGTTGAGAGTAGAAAATGTGTCAGTTCTTTGCTTTGCAATCGGATGTTGGCAAGGTATATTCGATTGCTTTTGCCGTCTGATTCGATAATTATTATCTTGTTGAAGTAAGTGGTGTGCAAAATCGTGTGTAAAATAAAACTTAATAAATTATTATAATTCCATCTAAGGAATTCTCTTTTTGAATGTAATACATACTAAGAACTAAATGATAATGTCTTGTGATAACTTCGTATTGGGGATTATGAAAAATTTTGTGCTGCAATTAAGTTACATAATTATTGCAGAACAATTTTTCTATGCACAGCTGAAAAAAATAAAATAAAATCTAAGAGCTTAGCACTAATTTTTTGTACTTTTATGGCATTGCCATACGATTTTCATCGCTTTTCTCTGTTTTCAGAATTGAACATAATAATAATGGCAGCACGCCGCATCGCTCAATCCTCGATTAACTGGTCTGCTCTGGCCGAGCGTGTGCCCGCTAACCAGAAAAGCAGCTTCGGTGCTTTCAAGACAAAATCGGACATTTACGTGCGTGCCGTGCTGGCCAATCCAGAGAATCCGCCAAAAATCGATTGGGCATACTACAAGAAATTGATTCCCGTCTCTGGTCTAGTCGATAACTTCCAGAAGCAATACGAGGCGTTGTCCGTGCCATACCCGAAGGACACTGTTTCCCAGCAGGTTGATTGCGAAATCGAGGAGTCGAAGAGCGAGATTTCCAAGTACAAGAAGGAATCTGAGCAGCGCATCCAGAATTACCAGAAGGAAATCGCTCATTTGAAGTCATTGCTACCATACGATCAGATGACAATGGAAGATTATCGTGATGCATTCCCCGAAAGCGCATTGGATCCCATCAACAAGCCCACTTTCTGGCCCCACACACCAGAAGAGCAAGTTGGCTACAAATCCAAGGAGCAGCTGGAGGCTGAGGCCCATGGACACCATTAAGCGCAATTGTGCATCTAGTTTAGCATGATATAAGTGTTTTGATTTAAATTATAAACATTTATGAAGTGCTATAAAAATCTTTAAAATCGAAAATAAAGTGAAGAAATTCGAAACGATTTTGGTATCTTGAATTTGCCGGAAGATTAATTTTATCTATCGTTATGTTGGCATGTAATTAAAACCAAGAAACCGACATCTTCATGCTTATATAAATTCAGTAGTAAATAAAGTGATCTTGCATATATATTTTTGTTATTGTTTCTATTATTTTAAAATGATGTTATTGAACTACGCCAACCTTCAGGCATTGAGAAATGTAACATAAATTTCGATTCATCGATAAATTTGTGAACAAAGAAGAATAACATTAGCATTTGAGGCTCTGTTAAAATGTTTTTGAACCAATTAGAAGATTTCAAATCTAAAAGCAAAACAATTGATATTCGTTAGTTTAAATATAATATATTAATTGAATTTTGATTATATAATTAATAAGTTGGCTCGATTATACAGTTGTGTTCTATTTATTCAAGTACAAAGTTTACTTATTGGATAAGTAAACTAATTCAAATGGATTTGTAGGGGAACTAATTCAACTGAACTAAGCTGTTCGTTCACGTGAGCGCATCGACTGATCGAATGAACCAAAATACTTTTGTTAGGCATAAATTAGTAGTTCGTTAAGTGAACAGTAAAATAAGAAGAAAGAAAACGAAAAGATACATATATAATTAAGTTAATTCACGACGTCGGCGTTGCATGAACTATTTAACAATTTTGCTGTGTAATCGTAAACCGACGATGCTTTCGCGCCGAAGCAAAGACAAATCGCAGGCACATAAAGAAGGCGTTGTGGGAAAATATGTTAAGAAGGACACGCCGCCCGAAATACCGGTAATAAATGTATGGACCTCCTACCCAGACCAACAAAATCAACGTGCCAAGAAGAAGTCACTGCAACGCTGTGCGAGCACATCGCCTAGCTGTGAATTCAAGCCGCGCAGCTCCAGCTCTAGTCGCAATACATATTCGTGCAGCGATGTTCAGCCGGATTATTATCATGCGCGACGGGCCCAAAGTCAGATGCCCTTGAATACCAATAATAATCAGCAAACGCTGCAGCCACCGACGGCGTCCAATACTCAGTTTCAGCAGAACAACTATGTTAATATTGAGCAAATGGAGCGAATGCGACGTCAGCAATCCTCCCCGCTGCTCCAAACGCCGACGAGAGGCTTCCAACGTAGTTATTCAACGCAGAAGCAAACACAACCAGTTGGTGCACCGAGCTATGATATCGATCAGAACTTACTAAGCGCCTCCTTTGCTAATATGCTACAACGGCCAGCCCAATTTGCTATGCCACAGCCAACTCAGCTGCTGCATCAGCCTATGCAGCAGCATGCGTCACTCATGAGGTATTTAACTACATATATTTGGAATTAGCTTTTATTTAATGCAATATGCCTCACACTTTTACAGAGCGCCACTTGGACARCAGCAGCAGCACTTAGGTGGGCATATGATAGGCAGCTATTCAAGTGATTCATATCCCATATATGAGAATCCCTATCGGGTTTCTTCAATGCGTGCAACACAGTCCCAGTCGCAGCGCTCGGAATCTCCTATATATAGCAATACGACCGCATCATCAGCTACGCATCCACACCAACATCATCAGCACCATCCACATCAGCATGCGCATCATCAGCAATTTCACCATCATTTACCACTGCCCCTAAGCGCATCGCTGAGCGTGAGTGGACGAGGCCGAAGCTCTGGCAGCACTCCGATCGCCTCCAGCTCTGTGCAGTCGCTCTACGCGCCACCTCTGACGCCGCCTGCGGCTAGCAACTCGACTGGCACTGCTGCCGATAGCAATAGCAACGGAGCCCTGCAAAAGGTGTCCTCACAGCAGTCGTTGACTGAAAGCGAAGAACTGCCATTGCCGCCCGGCTGGGCTACGCAGTACACATTGCACGGTCGGAAATACTATATTGATCACAATGCACACACCACGCACTGGAATCATCCGCTGGAGCGCGAGGGCTTGCCAGTCGGATGGCGTCGCGTTGTCTCCAAGCTGCATGGCACCTACTACGAAAATCAATACACCGGCCAGTGCCAAAGGCAGCATCCATGCTTAACGTCCTATTACGTGTATACCACGTCCGCTGAGCCGCCCAAGGCAATACGACCCGAGGCGCCGTTGTATTCCCCACCTGCACATACTCATAACGCTTTGGTGCCAGCTAATCCCTACTTGCTCGAAGAGATACCCAAATGGTTGGCCGTGTACTCGGAGGCGGACTCCTCGAAGGATCACTTACTGCAATTCAATATGTTCAGCCTGCCTGAGCTCGAGGGCTTCGATAGCATGTTGGTGAGACTCTTCAAGCAAGAGCTCGGCACAATCGTTGGCTACTACGAGCGCTATCGGTAAGTGTTTGATGACTTGAAATTCGTGAAAAGGTTGACTCAGCAAATACTTATTGAATTCGAATTTTATTTTTGCTTACAGCCGTGCCTTAATCTTAGAAAAGAATCGTCTTGCGGGTCAGAATAAACTTCAGTGACGAGCTGCGCAGCAGGAATATATACCCTATAAGTTATACCAGAAATTACCCAAGTTTTGGGTATTTCGTTTTGATTTCTAACAAGAATTTCAATCAGTTTGTAAACTGTGATATGATTCGACCTAAAAACTAATGAAATAGAAATGAAAAATTGTCTTCAATTGCAGTTCAAGTGAATAAAGTTCATGCTTGACTTTTGCCTTAGCATATACTAAATTATTTTATAATGATATCTTTACGGCTTGTGTTCCGGCTTTTAACTAATATAAATATTTATGGAAATCTATTTACAATTTAAATATACGATATTCAATTAACTCGAAACCCAACAAGAGGTGCTCAACTAATTAATTTGTTATAAAAATATATCGCAACAGTGTGCTCATATACTTATAAAAAAAGCTATATGCCTGAATTGCTATTATTTATAGAAAACGAAGTACTATGTCAATACGCGAAACCGAACTCGACTCGAGTCAGTTACAACAACAAAATCGATGAACGATCGAGCGCTTGCCGAGCGTCGATCACTCCAATATCAAAATGAGCTTCAATTTACCCTAAGCCCATGACATTTATGTAAAGAGGGTATATTGTTTGTATCAGTGAGTATGTAACAGCCAGAGGGCGGCGCAAGGACTTGATTGGGATCGGTAGAGAAAGTCAATATAGAATTGTGATCGATGTCAATTTTAAAAAATTATCGATAAAAATCGTTATCGACTATTGTCTACTAATATTTAGTGATGCATGATTTCATACGTTTTACGACTTGGAATTCAGAAATTTGAAATACATTTGCTAAGTATTTTACGATTACCCAAAGCAAAGATGAACTCATCTCTCTAGTGACATTTTGTGCTTACTCATGTATGTGTTAGATGCTGAAATAATGATGTTGAAATTCCCATTCTGGTCAGATAATAAACATTTGCGATTATGCAAAAGCGGAATGTCCATGGTATTCGTCTGATTCGGCGTGCCCATGCTAGAATGCTGTAGGCTAGGGCATTTGGCAGTCTGGCACACCCGCCCACAGCTCTCTGGCTCGTTACATATAAAGTGTTGGAGCACTGTCGCATGGTGCCTCAGTATCTTGAGAGTCGCGTGTCGTGGAGCACAGTTTAAGCTTGCGATTGGTAAGTTGTGCGTGCACGTTGTTAAAGTGCAGCACGAAAATGTTTCGAGTTCTCGATTCGAGTTGCCAGAGAGTTTTCTATATCGCCGATATTCGAGTGCGTAAACGGAGTTTTGTGGATATATGCCTACACATAGTTGTGTATATAGGCAGATGAAAAAGAAAGGAATGTCGCCTAGATACTTTGAAATTTCTGTGACGTTAGCCAACTTTCAAGTGAAAGTTCTAATCCGGCTGCAAAACGATATCGGAAAAAGCAGAATTGGCTAATTTATTTGCATTGTTTATTTGAACAAATGGTTAAGTCAGCGAATTTTTGACAGCTATATACATATACATATGAATACCGTCGTCTAGTCCCCATAAAGTGTAAATTCTTAAATAAAAATATTTATATTATTTCCCTTTCTTGATTCTGTTTGCTGTCGGCAAACTTTTGTGTGACTACAGTTATAGTTCGAATCATCATTGATTACCGCAATCAATTTGATTAGCCAATTTATTGCAACATGCATTACTAATACAACAACAACAACAGCAGCATCGAGAGCATATTGTAACGAGTCCGATTAGCCTTATCAATCAGTCTGATAAGTTTATATTCAGGATGTTGTATACAAAGTTTTGCAAAGTCATCTGCTTTGGCTATCAACAAATATCTGAATGAACAGGCAATTCAAAATAGACGACACTCGTTCAGAGAGTCAATCGAGTATATTGGCTTTTCATGAGTTGCATTATACAATTAGGAAATAAGTCCGTCTTAAATTTTACCAGATCCACTAAGTGCTATATTTTATTCAGTGCTAAGCTAATCTATACTAATTCACGAATTCAATAAGAGCATTTCGGTTTTCAGTTGAGTTTTATATGTAGTATATACTCTGTTTACCCATGTTCGCTCATCTGTCCGAAGAATTGTAACTTGAATCTGAAATATAAGTGCTCGGCTGATAAGCTTTCAGATTTGAATACCCGCTCACATAGCGAAAAGTCTATATTAGTTTGCTTTCCTATTCGTCTTGCTAATTATCTGGATGCGCTTAGGGTGGGGCATAATTATAGAGTCTAGACTATAAACTACGAAGTTTAAGTCTGGGTAATTGAAATACATATGTAGTAACTCATACAAAAATTCTAGGCTAGATAATTATACATATTTCAGGCATGAGTTGAGCAAGTGTTAATAGAGTACAGTATGCGAGGTAGGATAGAAACAGAGACTGGCAATTGGAATATATATTTTTGTAGATTTTTATTACACGTAAAATATAACTTAGGGAGTTAGCGACTCCTTAGGCTTTCACATGTACTTCCTTAAAGCGTTTGTCCATAATCAGACTCTATATGATCCATAGATTAGAGCTAGAAGACTTAGATATGATATGGATCATTGATCTTCGCTTCATCAGTTATATCTCTAATACTATAATAATTTGCCTAATCAGCGAAATTTCCCCAACGAACGAGCATTACGGAGTCGCTAGCAGCCGTTTGCGAACTTTTTACTTGTTTTATGGAGTGCAGCATGTCATAGTCAAGGCGGTTTGATTTGTAGAACCTCCGCCATATGAGCTTTTGTGATTGTATTTGTTACTTGATACACTTATATACGAGCGTCTTTTGATAGTGCTCATATACAGACACACACACATGTATATGTATGTGTGTGTGTGTGTGCTAGGTTTATGACTCCATATGACTCGCTGTAGATTGTTGTTAGTTGGGCTTGAGCATGTAAAAAAGTGTATAAAAGCTTTGCTTTCGTTTTTCGAGCTGTTTAGGTCTTTTTTTTTTTTATTGTGGAGCGCGCGAAAAAGTCGCGCTTTTTATTCATACAGCAAATAATAGTTCTTAAAAAATGTTATTTATGTGATAATTCGCAAATTTATAGTTGATAGCTGAAACTGTGTTCTCACAAATTGTTGACGTATCTCAAAAGCAAACATTAAAGCGCCTTGTGCAGTTTAGCAAATGAGAAGTCTATATTTCGTTTGTTTGCCCAAGTTAAATACTGCTTTCCGGCAATGTACATACATACGTGCAAACATAACAAGAGATCGTTTTAGAATTGTATGTAGCCCTATCTTCAACACTTTTAGAGTTTCAGTTATCAAAGAGATTGCATAATAAATATAAACATATCTATAAATTATCTAGTATATATAGTTAATTATAGGTAAATCGGAATATAACAATATTTCAAGCAACTTAACTGTTTTCACTGATTGCTGAGCAACACAAATGCAGTGAGCTACTTTCTTAATGCTCTACAATGGAGCACTTGCTAATTTTTGCTGACGCTGTAACCTATATATGTATGTGTATATATAGTGGACTAAATAAAAATCTTGGTAGATTTTACATGAACTTCGAGAGTTTCGAAAACGCATGCAACTTTGACCGTTGATTAAATTGTTTTCCTGAATTTGCTTCAATTTGCTTTGTTTCTTATTTATTCAGATCTTCAATTTCCTTTCAGAATTGATTGCCTGTAAATATTGTGGCCTGAATGCCTATTGACTGTATGACTCTCAATTAACACAATGAAGATATATTAGCATTTACATATACCACTCAACATTTGCATATATGTATCTATGTATGCATGTATTTGTTTGTGTGGCTACCCAATTTCGCATACAGAGAGTTGTTGAACTGAAGTTCTTAACAAAGTGAAATTCCAACTGTAAATAAAACCAATTAAGCGAATTCGAGCAAATACTCATACGACCCACACCCATAGAGTATGCAATGGATACATAGGGAGTCATGTATTTCAAATTTGTGATTATCATCTTTTAAATACCTTATTTATATCGCATTTTATTATTCAAATTTTGTATATTTTATATACCAATGCCTTTAAATTGAAGGTCAGTGTTTAGCCAAACGTTCTAGCATTGAAGTAGGGCGAAGAGTGAAATGGCGGTATTGGTATAGCTGTATAGTAGTCCCATTAATATGTTAAGTGTTTTTTATAAGCATTTTGTAATCTATTTTGGAAGTTCATTACAAATTATTTCTTGTTTTGCGAACACACTATGAAAACCTCATTACTATTTATATATTTCAGTCATTCACGTGTTGCCATTTCTCTTTCTTTTCAGCTGTTGATAACAGAACATGGTAATGGAACAACTTAATTTGCAAGTGTTTTAAGACTACAAATAAAGAAAACCAAACAAAAATGTTTTATCGTGTTCGTTACTTGCGGCAAGTGCTTGTTCTTGCATTGTTCAGTAAGTTTTTGCCGTTGTTGACTTCTTCCATTAACTTTCAACAAAGTCAAATGCTAAAAATAAAACCGTTTTGTTACTCATCTCAGTTGCAATTGGACTATCAGGAGTAACAGCCAATGTTCTAGATGTTGACAGTCACGACTTGACAGTGTTGGTAAATGACAACAAAAGTTTTTTGGTCTATGTCAGGTGAGTTGAGACTCTCAAGCTGGGATTATACAGATCTATTCTGTTTTCTTCTTCTGAGTTCGTAGTAAAGTGATAGGATAGACTTTTATCATTGCTAAGAACTTAAATCTTTATAAATATGTTCTTAGCTCATATGAATATCTAATATAGCACTTAAGTTAAGGAATTCAACTGCAAATTTTGCTCTATAATTTATTTTTTAGTACTTTAGACTTTCATTATATTTTTACGACTCTCAAGTGACTTGCAGAAAAAACATAGATAGTTACTATAGAAATATAGACTCTAACTCGTATTAGTTTTTTTTTCTTTTTTCAAAATGAATGAAAGCGATTCAAAATTAAGAAATGTGTAAATAAATTAAGAAATTATATTAATCTAGTGTCAGTTTAAGTGCTTCTGAAGGTCTTGATGCAACAAGTAACATGTCGGACGTGACCGACAGCATGATACTCGTTCAATGGTGTTATGGAGTAATTTATCAGAAACTCCAGCACAAACATGCTCAGTATAAATACTTCAAGTTTCTTCTGCCAGCACTAAAGAAATTTTTTGCTCTCTCTTTAAAATTCCACAGCGACCAATTAACTGAAGATATCGATGTGACTTTGATCAAGCAACATGAGTATCATCTGGACCTGTACCCCGAAACCTTCTCATGCCGTAAGGGCATATCAGCCGAACAAGTAGTTGTTGTAAGGGGTCGAGCGGCGGGTCATGTGGAGGTCACAGCAAAGAGCAGCTCCAAAGATGCATCCCTGTATGTGGATCGACCTCACATATATATACAGATGTAAATAAATATAATGTTAAATATATTTCATCCCTTGCAGCACTGAAAATCTGTTTGTTCGGGTCGTTGTGGCCAAGTCGGAGGCCATAATCTATTCTTCCATTGTCTTTGGCTGGATATATTTTGTAGCCTGGTCCGTGTCGTTTTATCCACAGATCTGGATCAACTACCGACGCAAGTCGGTAGAGGGCCTGAACTTTGATTTCATAACATTGAACATAGTTGGATTCACATTGTACAGCATGTTCAATTGTGGACTCTACTTCATCCAAGGCTTGCAAAACGAATATAGCGAACGGCATCCGCGCGGCGTCAATCCGGTTATGCTGAATGATGTCGTCTTCTCACTGCACGCCATGTTCGCAACAAGCATCACAATCGTGCAATGTTTCAGATATGAGGTAACTATCAGATATGATGTATAACAATATTTCTGTGTATAAGACTGAGCTATAATGATTTATCTTTATGCAAATCAAATGAAAAAGTAGAAATTAGACCATATCCTTATATCTTTTTCTCTTTTATATCATAGCGTGGACAGCAACGTGTGTCGAAAGTCGCATATGGTCTGTTGTCAATATTTGCGCTTATTGTGATCATATCAGCGGGACTGGCTGGAGGATCTGTTATAGACTGGCTGGATTTCCTATACTACTGCAGGTATAATAGAGCTATGCATGTAAACTTTGATTGTAGTACTGATCGGTTCCATTAATTAATGTAGCTATATCAAATTGGCGATTACAATTATTAAGTATATTCCACAAGCGCTAATGAACTATAGGAGAAAAAGTACAGAAGGATGGTAGGTTCCATAATATTAAGGGATTCAACTGCTATGCATTTATATATCCATTTATATTTTAGGAGTATTGGTAACATTTTATTGGACTTTACTGGAGGTACACTGAGTATGCTGCAAATGTTGTTAAATGCCCATAACTATGGTAAATTATTTGGAATAGTCAATTTAGAATAGTCCACTTAATATTTGTTGCATTATATATAGACGATTGGCCTTCAATATTTGGTGATCCAACCAAGTTTGGGCTTGGCCTATTTTCGGTGCTCTTTGACATATTTTTCATTCTACAACATTATGTGTTTTACAGGTAATTATGTATTTTTTTATTCATTTAAACCTGTGACCTAAAATACTGTAAATAAATACTGTACTTTATAAATATAAATATATTTTTGATCTTTGCAGGCACTCGAACAAACGTACAGAAACAGTTTCTGATTTGACGACAGACACTGTGGTCCCAAATGATGTTCATATTGATACAACAATAAAACAGGGTTAAGCTTAAGTAATCATAATGTTGTTAACTGTTAAAAGGTTAAAGATTGTGTTAAACTTGTTATATTTTTTTGCTAAGTTATTGTTTTTTCACTTAATATATATTGCAAGTGTATATAAAAACTTAAATACATTTTAAAATCAAATTTCTTGAATCTTTATAAAATTGACCATGATCATAAAGAGAACATAGAAGTTAATGTATTTAAATTTAACAGACTTCTATTTAAATATCGATTGCAACAGCTTTTACGAAATGCTATTAATAACAATTGCACAATATATCGATAGGCGCCGGCAAGCGATAGTTGCAGATCAGCTGTGTGTTGCGCCACACTGTGACTGCGATATGTAAGAAGAAGGGGTTTGTTAACTCGGTGCGGCTTACGATAATAAATACAATTGATATAGGCACATAAAATAAATTGTATTTAGAATGTCTCGACAGAGGAAAAGGTATTACATAATCGCCATCAGCGAATTGCCGTCACACAAGCTGTTGCATACAACGCGCATTGTTTGTGTGTATGTGCGTGATTGTTGTTGTGTTTGTAAGAATTCGTTTACATTTACAGGCCTATCGCGTACGTTGTGGAGGAGCTGGATACCTTTGATGCAGCTGGCTCCTCATCGCAGGAGAATATCAGCATTGGAAATGCCGTAGACGATATGTAAGCCAATATTTATATTTATTACTGATAATCAAAATTATTGTGTTCAAAACAGAAACTATTCCTACAAAAGAACAGGTCGCATTCAATTCAGTGTTGCAAAGCCTGTCAAATGATGGCTGTTAATACAATAATAACGAATATTTAAATATTTATACATATTTGCAGCCCCATGGAGCCGATGGCTTTTCTTCAAGGTCTAAACGTAAGTCAATAGAAACAGTTAAGTTTGATTGTAAATAATTGTATTTATTTTATATTTACAGTCGGGCAATTTGATGCAATTCAGCCAGGTAATTATTTGACTATTTAAACCGCTGCGAGAGATCGGATTGGACCAGTATAAGCGTAAAACTGGCTACAGCTGACAGTACACTGGATATGAGAGATATATCCATTTCGAACAACCCCATGGGCTTGATTTTATATTTGATGGTGTTGATTTGAAGGGCGAATGCGTGCACACTTTGTCGAAATCGCCAATCGGCATTTTGTAAATTGATCTCTTGCAAAGAGGTGCCCGTGGTTCGAACTACAAGTAGGATATCATTGCTCACATAAGTCAGTAGGGCTATTTCGAGAAGTGATATAGTAAGAAAAACTAAATTGATGAGTGCACCGAATCCATCGAATTGCTTGCCGCCAATGACAGACTCGGCTATGCCATAGTATTGATTAAAAACTCCAACCGTAATGCCCAGCAGATGACAAATTAACGATAGGATTATTGAGAGCGACATGAGAGCCATATACTCTGTACTTTTTACGCATATAATTTTGTACTTAATCGCCAGGTCATCAAGCTCATCCGCTAAGGTACAGTATCTCTGTATACAGTAGTACTTCGAATAATGCTCTCTATTTATCGGCAGTTGCATACAATTCACCTGGTCGACAACCATTTTCAGCCTATCATTGACGGCTTCGGCGATGTTCTTTGCTATGATCATGGCACCGAAGTAGCAATTGTTTAAAAAGTTTGATATAATCATTGGAAACAATTTGTACAGCGTCCAGGTCCAATAGGCATCCGGTTCATTTCGTCTCTGTTGCATGACCAAAGCAAACTCCAAAACTAGCGGGAATCCGAGTACTTTAATTAATGCCAGCATTACGGACTTCCTTATTGCTCCACTCTCGATATGCAGTTCGTTCAATGTCTTAAACAAGGGAACTGTGCTCATCATTTCGCCAGCTGTTTTGCTCATTATCATTTGGGTGAAAAAGTTGATAGTCGCCACCGTGATATTCATATAGCTATATAGCTTGACAGCATCCCGTAGATTGAGCTCTGAGTTCATATAATCCTTATATATCTGTCTTACGTAAATGCTCATAAATATCGCTGTCACCATCATGGCATATGCCAATATTTTCTTCGAGAAGACGAAACGCTGTCGGCCCCGCAACGTAAAGCGATTGGCAAACAGTCCAAAGAACGTTAACATAATGATGAGGATAATAAGCAAAGCATGTACGAGTTTGCCTTTGCCATGAATCGGCTGACGCGATAGACGTATGCCTAGAAAGCCCATTGTCGTTAAAAGGTCGATTGAGACTAAACTTGGCAATTCACATTTATTTATTATTATTATATCCTTTAACGCTTTGTGTTGAATAAGGTATAATTGTTTGTTGATACGGGTATCATAGACGGATATATGCTCGCAGAAGTTTACTCAATCTAGATATCTGAGTACATGTTATTATCAAGGAAACCGAATCAAATCGATGTCAACATTTAGTTATTTGAGTAAAGGATAAGGAGTAAAGGATATCGATTATTTATAAATAAGGATAACTGTGTAGAAGCAACTCAACGCCAGTTACAGAGCATCTGCTAGTCGAGCAAGCCGACACACTCTCCAGTTTGAGCATCAAATTTCATATATTAATTTCAATCAATCAATATGCTTCGCGCTAGACATATGACATATCTTGACATATCTGGAAATCGTGTAATATTGATTAATTACTTGGAGAGGACACATACATATCTACTTATGCATGCCTTTATCAGTTGTCCAATTTAAATAGAGCTCAAATGCAAGCCGGTACTTGCTCATGCAAGATATATATATATATATATTAAATATATTAAAATTCCACTTTTCAGGAATCCATTTTGCGAGAAATGATGCTGCAGAATATCAAGACACAGATAAACTCGTTGCCAAAATTGGAGAATCACAACAATGAAGACTATAACTTCAGCATGGTACTGGAGGAGCCGCCAAAGTCGCACTGGATGTATTCGGAGCCATTGAACAAGTTGTACATTCGCATGAATAAAACGTTCAATATTGATGCTACGTTCAAAATCAAAATGCCAATTCAACCGCTGAATTTGCGTGCGTTTCTGTGCTTCGTCAAGGATGTCAGTGGTCCTGTGCTGCGCTGTCAGAATCACATGAGCACAGATCCCAGTGAGTCTCTACATAGAAGCATATCACCTGCACCTGCATTTATTTAACCGTTTCCGTTTCTCTTTTTCCTGCAGTTAAGGATGATCCGAGTAAGCGGGAAAGCTTGCTGCGCTGTGAGAATCCGAATGCGACGTATTGCGGCACGGCTGAGGGGAAAAGTATTGGCGAAAGATACTCCGTACTTGTGCCACTGAACATGAGTCGTCCTAGCCAACACAGCGGCGGGCTCGTGCGCCAGACGTTTGTGTTTAGTTTTTCGTGCCAGAATTCGTGCTTTGGCCGCAAAGAAACTTGCTTAGTGTTTTGCTTGGAGAACAACAAGTACTCTATATAATAATTCCAAAAATCAATTTATACTCATCCGATATACATATATTTGCAGTGGCGATATACTCGGTCAGCACGTGTTGCTTTTGAAGATTTGCACGTGCCCGAAACGCGATCGTAACATGGATGAGCGGCAGCTGGAGAAAAACAAGATCAAGTCATTGTCCGCTGCTTCGGAAGATGATGAGGTCGATGGGCCGGATTCCAAACGAAAATACCGTCGCACAATGACCCAGGACATTAAAGAGGAAGTCGAAAGCAACGACAGCCTCGATATGCCATATGTGCCTGCTGATTGGCAAGTATCGCGCACGTTGGACGGCGACTATCGTTTGGTCATCAAGTGCGAACAGAAAGATATGCTATTGCAGAGCATCGAGGGTATTATTGAGAAGGCGGCCGTTGCCTCGCTTCGTAATCCACAAAGTCCAAAGCTGCGTCAGCATGTGAATAATTTGCTGAATTTAAAAAGTAACTATTATATGAATTTAATGTCTTCCTCTGATTATTATAATTATTTATTTGGCTTGCAGAATGTGCGCAGAAGTTGCCTTAATGCGGAATATTGACAGTACAATAATTAGTATTACTTGATTGGAATTAAGTTTTAAAGTGTTTTAAGTGTTTTATCATTCCTAAGGAAATGTTTCAAAACCACAATATTTACATATTGACAATACAAACTTAGATTTGTATGGAAAAAATAACGAATTTGGCATACAAATGAATTTTTTGTTCGGTAATTTAAGATATAGATATATATGTAGTTTATGTTAATAGATACCTCTATCATACCCTGTTTACTATATATGTGTATATGGTACTGTTGTAATGTGTATTCAAGTATACATGTGTATTTTAATCTAATATACCTGAAAAATGAATATATTTTTACTTGTTTTTATAAATTTAATAAATGGAATACAAAGACTTACAAAATATCACTTTTAAGAACTACAGAGAAAAACTGTTGTTTCAGTAATAATCAATGTATGTGTTGCAAATATAAGATACAAGTATATTAACATTTGAGCCTTATACACATTCAATGTGATCATTTTATTACCATATCTACATCATAGTAAGTAGCTGTCTAAAATAAAGTTGTACTTGGCTTAAATATAGCGAACATCTGCTATGTGTCTGCCTATATTGTCGAAAATAGCTGTTAATTGTACATTATTCATTTTTTAAAAACGCCTCGCTCTTCATGCTCTGCCAAAGAACATGTGCGAAAAGTCAAAGATCAGCAAGCAGATGTTTCGAAATATTTGTTGTTTCTCGTCTGCCTTTAGCCATATGCAGTTTTAATCAATAAGTAAGTGCATTATATTTATAATGGAAACTATATTTATATCGTTTCAATATTTGACTCGCAATATTGGAATCTTAACGGCTTTCTCTTTGCCAGCTCCAGAGCCAACGCCATCGCCATCGAAAGGTTGGCAGACCTGTTTGCCATACGAAATGTTTGAGTGAATTCCATGAAAAAAGTAACTCAAACTTTTACTCGAAGGTGAAACAAATATGCGACAAGCCAAGGGCGTACAAATATATATATATAAACATGTATTCATTATGTATGTATGTATGTATATGGACACATTATGGATTTCTGTATTTAGTGCCAAATAAGTTATTGTAGCATCAAAAATATCAAGAATAGGTAAAGTAGCGACATCTTCTATTTATACCCTGTACTTATGTAGATGGGCTTAAATGTGTTTTCATGGCGATTCGACTTAAGAAGCTTCATCGTCTAGCCGATTTTATAACTGCATCGCTCTTGATATCCTTAAGCGCTAAAGACTTGAAAACACGTGTAGGTTATACGTCTATCCATCATTATCATTACTATCTATCATTACTCTAGAATAAAAATTCCCAAAGCTTTCCAGAGACCGAAAAAGCAAGAGGAAGCACATGTCAGCATACTTATAAATGAGAGTGCTTAAAGCCATTCATGAAGCTTATTTACATGAAATTAACAAATATTCAAGGATTATATATAAGAGTTTACTGATTTAGGAAATCTGTCTATATGAAATTATAAAATAACAGAGTATACCATTTTGTTATTGTCGCAAATTCTATTTGTTCTTAACATACCAATGTGTATCTATAAAACAATCAATATTTATCACTGAAAGTATATTTTTAACTAAGGGGTATATGCTAGTCGAGCACTCTTGCTCAGCTGAGCTTTCGTTAACTACTTACTTATGTTCAATGCTCGTGAAGTCGATCTCAAGACATCAGGTGAAACTGCCTACACATGCAGTACGCGCTCTCTCCCTCTCGCTCTCTCTCTCTCTCTAGCCATTCAATTCCACTCAAAAAGAAAAAAGCCAGAGCCAAGCACCTATTGCTGCCACAAGCGACTGGCATTGGGAGAGAGGAGAGCCGACTTGCTGTCGGCTTGATACACCAAACAAGATAACTCGACGACAACGATATATGTTCGTATGTATGTATGTACGTATGTATGTGAAAAAGTTGTCAGAGAGCGATCTGCAGTTTGTGTGGAAGAGTACGAAAAGTTGAGCGCATTGTTTTTAGTTTTATTTCATATTGCTAGCTCAACGCACGTGCGATTACATTAACGCTAACGGATAAAATAAATAAAAAATTGAAAATTGAGTAAATAAAAAATTTGCCTTTTTATGCAACTGCATAAACATGGTCGAAACAGCTACCACTACAACAATCACGCGCACCACATCGAGTGCAGCGCCCAACTCGCATGCTGCCCCATCGGCCACGCCCTCGCCCACCGCGGCCCAGGCGCAGCGGAACGATGAGACAACGCGTCTCATTTACAATCTCAAGATTATTGCCTTCCTGTGCCTGCTGCCGTTCGTGCTGTTCGCCGTGTTCCTCAAGCACCTGCTGGACTACCTGTTCGCCCTGGGCCTCAAGGAGAAGGATGTGAGCGGCAAGGTGGCACTGGTAAGCACAGGTGGGCGGGCACTCAGTATTGCCCAGGTGTTTTGCGTTCTATTCGTGTGCTCAAAATGCCAAAAAGAGCTTATTAAGCTGTCGCATGTCGCATGTTGGCTAACGAGCATATTGGCTCTGACGCCAGATTTCGTTTGTCTTGGGACTTGAAATGAGACTTAGCTTAGACTCTGTCTGTCTGTCTGTCTGTCAGTGGTAAAACGCCCACTGGAGGCGTGGCAGCGTGGGAACTTTTGCATACATTTTTTATACATATTATATATACATATGTACATACATATATGTATGCCTCGACTTAAGTTTATAAAACCAAACCGACTGGAGATATAACAAATTGGTCTTGACTTATTCCAAAGATGATATACCAAGAAATGGCTCATCTATAATCTATATCTCCCAAAGTTTTAGAACCGAGACTCAAACCAAATATTTCAGCTCAACGATCTGCACAAATCTGCAACTGATATTTACTCCCCCTCCCTACTTGCCCACCCCTCAGCTAACTACCAAGCTATCTGCTGACCTTGAGCGGGTATTGTGCAGTCAGCTAAGCCTGCCTTCATGCCGCAACTCACATTGCAGCAAATAGTTTCTTAATACTTCATATGTAATGCACAAATGTTTGTACATTCAGTCATATGGATAAATGAATTAGAGTAACGGCACATGTAGTTTTCATCTACTACCGTTACCTCTCGCCCATGTCATGCGGCTCAGCACAAATGGGTGTGGCTCGATTCGTCGCTTTCGTTTTGTTCTCTTTCAGTTTTTATTGCTATTGTACTAAAACAAAGTATTTTAGCTATGCGTTCCCTAAATAGTCAACGAGTGTATATATGTATATGTATATATGATGTCAATCCATATTCGGCTGCCTTTGCCGCTCTTGGATGGGTTTTGAATATCAAATGAGCTCGGGGGAAGCAAGTGATGCCAGCACTATGACACACATAATCATATAAAAACGAAATATGTTTTTGTTTATAAACTTGGTGACTTAGAGGTTAATTGAAGCTGGCTTAACTAAAAATGAGACTTGGCTGAATAATGGTAAAAGTGTAGTTAGCTTTGTTTATAAATAAGAGTTTAGAATAGCAACAACGTTTGATAAACCAAATATTCTGAAATAAATTGAATGCATTAAGTGTATATTTAAAAATAAATCAATACATTTTATTTTGAGCGTGAGCGCACTTGAGAGATTGTGATATGCAACTTTATTATATATGAATATATCATATATGTATATATGTAGTATGTGTGTTATACAAAACGTTATATTAATAATGTTAATGAATTTAAGGTTAATTTAAGTTCACGCCAAGCAATGTAACTTCAATGCCTGAACAATTGCTTATGGCGCTATTTTATATTTCTCACAGACGTGCATACATACATACATATGCATATACATACATGTATGCATATTTTTAAACGCATGTCAACTCAATTGACCGTTACGGCAAGGTCAAGTTAGCTGCCAAAACTGATGAATGTATGTATCAATGCATGTGCACACACACGCACACACACACACACACACACACACATCGAACCGAGCTCTAGCATGTAGTCCATAAAGTTGTGTGCTTTATTATTGAAATTCCATTCGTATGGCGTTTTGTAGGTGGGTCGTCGTAAGTAGCTTCTCAGGTATTCGTCATGTCACTGAAGCTCGGATTGTTCTGTATTCTGGCGATCGCTCACACAGATACGAATATTAGCTAACCCACACAAATGCGCTGTAAACAGGTTTCTTTCGTATTTTGCTTAAAAGATTATGAACTTCACTTTTGTTTTCTTTCCATTAATGCACACAAAGCACACACACACACACACACACACACACACATATGCGTACAGCTGTATGTGTTTGTTTACATACCAAATTGATGACGTTGCCGCGCTGCTGCGCGCTGTCTGTGGCAACAGAAATGGAAAACGCAAAGATAACAAGATTCGTAGCCAATGAAGATGCGCAAAAAAGCGAAATAGATAACGAAGATAACACGATTAATACCAAATTAAGATAAAGCAGATAAAAACTTCCGTAACGTCTACGTGTATGTTTTTAAATTTTATGTTTTTAGCTGAGGCATTTACTTTAATGAAATTGCGATACCCTGTAATAAGTGAAAGTCTGTTAAGGGGGTATTGTGTTTCTCTTCGAGCTTATGTACTTGACAAATGGATATATAATCAAATACATAATCTATCATTACATTACACCTGGTATTTCGATCTGGTTTAATAGCCAAGCCGATCTCGACTCGAGGCGTTCATAAAAGCCCCGACTAAATCTGAAATCTTAATCCTTACTTCTTATATAGCAAGAGTAGATTTAGCTCATTTCTATCTATCCAGAAACTCTTTCCATTGCTCTAAAATTAATCAAATTGAAGCTAATTTGTGCATATGTTGTAGGACGTAAGCTCGAGAGATATCTGATTATATAAGATTAGATTGAAATAAAGTATCAAGTAATGTTCTTTTCAAATCACAATTTGATAAAAATGAGAAATCCAGTTCAGTCCTCATGTTTATATAAGAGCTATACAGTGCCTTTTACAATCCCAAAATAGATTAAATTCTTGAATAAATCATTTTGTTTACATCTTCTTCATTTCATCAGCCCTAACTCGAGGATATCTTCTAGTCGAGCACTGTCCGACTTAAGTGCTTTTACTGTGTATTTTATAAAAATTAAGTTTATTACAGTTCAAGTGTTCAATTGACGTTCAACGGGGGTCACATCATTTTAATTACGGGCTAGACTTAAATCAAACATAATCAGTTTTTGGATATTTGAACACACTCACACACACACATGCATAGCTGTACGTGAATGCCGTAGCTGAGTAGCTCATTGTTTGCAAATAAAGCCAATTAATTAGTACTAGTTTGCATAATGAGAGCTTTAGGGCATACATAAGGCAATTGCATACATATGCTTAAATGATTTCTACCCAGATATAGGTATGTAGCAAGTACATATGTAGACAAAAATGTCAATAACACTGCTAAACGGTAGTTTGAGTTAACTCATTAAAAGATTGGCATGCTGTCTCTGAAAGCAGTCAAGCTCTATTATGCTCTATAAGTTCTTTCTGTTGCTTAACTTTTTCTAGACACAGTCGAACCATTTCTCCACTTTTAAATTTTCAAGAAAACTTTATTTATTTTGAAGATATCGTCCTTTGAATTTAGTGGTCAGCTGCCTTATACCCTCACCAGTTCCTATCCCACTGAGCTCTATCTTTCTCCATCAAACGATAATTCAATAAATAAAAATTATATTTCAAAATTTCAAAATTCTTTTTATAGAAAAGAAATAATACATAGACCCTTTTCGAAATATCTTACAATATTTCAAAAATACCTAAGAAACAAAACTTTTTTATTTTTACAGTTTTTATATGCAACCCGATTCATATTGGTTGAACTTGGCTAACTAAATTTATGCCCTTTTTAGGTAACAGGCGGTGGCAGTGGCTTGGGTCGTGAGATCTGTCTGGAGCTGGCGAGACGAGGCTGCAAAGTGGCCGTGGTTGATGTCAATTCGAAAGGCTGCTACGAGACGGTGGAGCTGCTATCGAAAATTCCACGCTGCATGGCGAAGGCATATAAGGTGAGTGATATTCGCAGGGAATGAGATCATTTTGACGATCGATCGAACTTGTTTTTGCAGAACGATGTCTCATCGCCACGCGAACTGCAATTGATGGCTGTTAAGGTTGAGAAGGAACTGGGACCTGTCGAAATTCTGGTCAACAATGCTTCGCTGATGCCAATGACATCGACGCCGAATCTGAAAAGCGATGAGATCGACACTATCCTGCAGCTTAATCTGGGCTCCTACATTATGGTGGGTTTTATATGTACTTGAATAGGTCTATATGCGAGGTTCCTTGAAAATCAAGATCGAAAATTATGATTCGAGACTCCAGAATGTATAGCGAACTATAGAGTTTGCTATGCATGTAGAGGTGATTGTCACTTTAGGCATAGTCAACAGTGATCTAAGCAGTATAACTCATTAACTCCGATCCTTAAGGTCAGGTATATGTACCACTTGATGGATCTGTAAAGAATCTGATCTCCAGTATATACAATGTGTTTTATATCATAGCATTTATCATTACATTTGATAGGATTAGAATCTTCGCCCTGCTCAAAAGCCATCTACTCAACTTACTTCTCAAGCGAGTATACATATCATAAATTAATATAGTATATAAAATATAGAGTGATACCATTTCTATAGCAAAAGTCTGTTCATCTTGCAACGATCTTGAATCAAATTATCGATCATACGAGAGTTCGATTATTTATTATATCCGGTGGAACGTTGTCATCTAACTTTCAAGTTCTCCGGGTACTATTTAATTTGGCTGATAAGTTACTTCACATAGAATGATAAAATATAATCAGCAGTAATATCCTATCTCAAATGGTTATACATATCATATACTTGATTCATTGGCTAGTTGAACAAACCTCGTCATATATGTATATGTATATGTATATACTATATCATCAATCAATCAATATCAATCAATTTGAATGCATTTTTTTAGACAACAAAAGAGTTTTTGCCAAAGATGATAACACGAAAATCTGGACACTTGGTGGCAGTCAATGCATTGGCAGGTCAGTCTGAAGAAAAATTCAATATATATCCAATGTCTATTCATAACCTACATAGGTCTTGTGCCGCTGCCTGGTGCTGGCATCTATACGGCCACAAAATATGGCATCATGGGCTTTATGGAGTCTCTGCGAGCCGAGCTGCGCCTATCCGATTGTGACTACGTTCGCACCACTGTGGCCAACGCCTACTTGATGAAGACGAGCGGAGATTTGCCGCTGCTCAGCGATGCGGGGTAGATAACTATATAATACTATATATAATCAATGTATCATGTAATAATAAATTCGCTTTTAGCATCTCGAAGAGTTATCCCGGTCTGTCCACTCCTTATGTGGCCGCGAAAATTGTTAAAGGAGTTCTCCTGAACGAGCGCATGATCTATGTGCCCAAGATATTTGCACTCAGTGTTTGGCTATTCAGGTAATATTTGATATACAATATATTATTCAAATTTACATTTTCTGTAATATTTTATTTTCCATAACTTTTACAGATTGTTGCCAACCAAGTGGCAGGATTTTATGCTGTTGCGTTTCTATAATTTCGATGTGCGCAGCTCACATTTATTTTATTGGAAATGAAGTAAAAGAGAGAGAGAGAGAGAGAGAGAGAGAGAGAGAGAGAGTGAAAAAGAGAGAGAAAGAGAGCGAGAGGGTGAGAGGAAGAAAGTTAATAGCTGACTACAGTCAGCTCTAGAAATTTACATGTAACTATTTATAGACAATATTTGTTAATCTAAGATTTGCATATTATTTATTTATATAAAGCAAAATCGAATAATACTAAAAAATACTAAAAAAAGGTATCTTTCATTTAAAAATTTAAATTAACTTATTAAATTAACTTATTAAGATGCTTTGCAGCATTGAAAAATAATTAGTAAATGTCTCAATTAGTAATGTAGGCAATGTATGACTAGAGTATAACAGTTCCACACCAGTTGTATAGTTACTGTACTACATTATGACAGATTGCTGCTGAGGTGCACTACATTGTTTATGAATTATACGTAAGGTATTATAAATATAAATGGGAATGAATGAGTGAAAAGTCATTCATAAAGTATCGCCAATCATAATCTGAACTCAGGCTTGTGAGCCAAGCTAAGCTGTGACTCTACGAATCACTGGGTCGATCACTTTGGGGAGCGTAATCTAAGTACTATATATTCCGATTATTAGCTGTTGAATAATTAATGTTGAGAAACTCTATAAATCAAAATAGAAATGATTTACTCCACCCATTTGCAATGTGGAAGCATCAAACAATCTTCTTAACATACTAACTGATCTTAAAAGCTTCAACTGATTTATATTAGAGTTTTAAATATGCTTCAATATTGTCATAAGAGCATCGCATCACTATTTATTTGTGCAGCTGAAAGGCATTTCAAAATTGCTTTCAAAACTCACTTGTAGGAGCAACATCAGCAGGTAGCACTTGAGGCACCCCTCAAAGGCCACTCACCCATATGTGGCATAGCTTAAGCATCGGCATTACTGTACACGAGCAGCAGCAGAAGCAGCAGCAGCCACAGCAGCTCAGAAATAAAATCTAATTTGAGCTCGTTTTCTAGATTTGATGTTGCAGCAAGGAGGACCCCCAGGCACCTGACATGCGGAGGAGAGACACAAGCCCAGGCACAACTCCACACTCTGGCGGCTCTGGCGCTCGATTGGATGCGGCTGCGCATGCGTAGCTGCATTGCACTGTGATCCATAAATAAAAGGGACTAATTACTTATGTGCTAGGGTTACAATTACAGTCGTCGTTCATTGCCATCGAGTGTTTAATAGCTCCGCTGCACTGCACTGCACTGCACTGCGCTCTGCTCTGCTGTGTTCTTGCCCCCGCGGAGTTGTCGGCTCGTAACATCGTAACATCGATCGATTGCAGCGTCTGCTCTATGAGCATATTTCAAACATTGTTTTGGGATTTGCACTGTTTCGGAATATTGTGTATTTTTGTTTATTGTTTTGTTAGTGGTTGTCATTCAGCCCCATCCTCTACCATGGTTACGGCTTCGTCTAGGGCCATGCCCTGGCCCGCATCACATGTGCACTGGAGCTCGGCTAAGTGAGCGAAGACATTTCATGCTTGGCGCTCCATGTGGTCTACCTCTTCGTTCAGTGTATCTGTGCTCGCTTTCATGTCTCTCCATGCCTTACTGCATCGACTATAAAGTAGAGTTCATTTTTTATGACCTCAACACACGAAATTACACGAGAGGTTAGAAAAAGCAAACTCTGCAAATATGCATTAAATAATTTTACTTTTTTTTTTTTAAATTTTGTTATTTGATTTTATTTGTATTATTTTCTGTATTATTGATTTTACACTAACTTTTTTATACCCTGAACCCATTTTCAATGGGAAATCAGGGTATAATGGTTTTGTTGAAATGTATGTAACAGGGAGAAGGAGKSGYGDCAGACCCCWCAAAGTATATATATTCTTGATCAGGGTGACGAGCTGAGTTGATTTGGCCCTGTCCGTCTGTCTGTCCGTCTGTCCGTCTGTCCGTCTGTCCGTATGTATGAACGCGTCGATTTCAGAAGATATAAGAGCTAGAGACTTCAAATTTTTTTTAAAATGTCCGTAATTACAGCGCGCATATCAAGTTTATCATTAAAATTCGATAACTCATCCCGATCTTTTTTTATCGATAAAAAACCTTATCGAAAACCAGTTATAAAATTATATCTTCTACACCTTTATTGCTAGAGTCTCCAAATTTTTAATGTATGCTTATATGCAATTTATACAATTTCGGTTTTTGTTAAAATTTACCCCCCACCCTTAAATTCACCCCCTCACCCTCACTTTTGTAAAAAGCGTATTTCAAATACTAGAGACTTGTGCTTTGGCAATTACATGCATATCCATGTTATAATCATAATCTGAAAGTTTCATGAAGATCGTACGTCCATAAAAAAAGTTATTAAACAATTAAGTTCTCATAGTAAGCGCACACTGCAGCCCATGCGTGTTTATGCGTGGGTGCTTGTGTGTGTATGTGTTTGTGTATGTGTGTGTNAATTCTGATACATTTATATTATTTTTTTGATTTATTTTTAATTTTGTTTACTTAGTTTTTATTTATAGTATTCAGTATTTGTAATTCATATGCTTGTTTACCAATTAAAAAAAAAAAAAAATTAAATTAAATTTAAAATTCAGGTTTCTTTACTGCAGCTCATCTGTTGATTCTATTATATTTTTATGCATTGTTGCATCGACTATATGAAGATCTGCTATATATATGATTTTATATCAAACTGTATATGACAAGATCTATTCTTATACTACTGTGTATACCCCTTTCAAATAGGGTATGCTGTGTTTGTTAAGTTATGAAATGAAGGCATAGTAGAGACTACAATATTGAAATGAATTTAGGAAAATCGAATCTATCTATTAAAATAGACTAAAAATGGGTATAGAAGTTCACGTAGTAAAATGTATGAACTAATTTTTTTTTTATGTTTAACCTAATCTTAAACAAATGAATTTTCAATGCTCAATTCTTTTTTAAAGGATATCTCCAAGTCTGGAACTCCCAACTACTCCAATTTTACCTTTTGGTTTCATCATTCCTGTTGCGCTCGTAATATTAATTTCCACTTGTCAAAATGTCATCTTAAAATGGACTATTTATGAACTTATTATACAAAAAGATTTCTCCGTTTTGTAAACTCTAAAAAACTCGCTCTAAAAATAGTCGCAGGCGGAGCGAGCCGCGCAAGGCAAGCCACTCGATATGAAGATCTTTTTTGGCCCCATACTGCGGTTCAAGTACAAACTTTTTCCTTCCCTGTGTATATGCTGGCAAGGTGTCACATGGAAATGGAGAATTGACATTGAACTTTCCATTAAATTTATAAAATTCTATTGGGAAAAAATATTAATTTAATTGAATTAAATATAAACGGAGTGACTGAAGGAGATATTAAAGTATATCAGATTATGTCAAAATTGATCTAAAATTATCCATTGTATAAATAATAAGGAAAAGTCAAGAAGATAATATCAGAATATGTGAATATCAAAAGCTTTTATCATTGAATATCAAGGTATTTCAACATTTCATTTCATTTCATATTAACTTAAAATCAATGCAGGACTATTCAAGTTACCCCGGCTAATCATTTCCACATGTAAACATCAAAAGAAGAGTAATTTCTTTTTTTTTGGTTTTTAGGGTTTTCTGAACCCATGTTAATAATAAACATTATTTACGCCTTCCTGTAAAATTCAGTGCTCTACATAAATAAAAATGCGAGAGAAAAAAACAACATTGAAGGGAATCCTTAACTAAACAGACAGCGCGAACAGGAGCTGTGCCAGCTGTGCTGTTTCCAAAACACATATCCTCGCAACAAGCCACACATTTCAAACTGTTAAATTATGACATTCAACTGTCTGTTCAAGTGCCGCTACTTCTGCTCCTGCTGCAGCTCCTGTTGCGTGAGAAAATATTATCCTTGTACCTAAACGAAACRCTCACTCACACAATCACATTCACATTCACATTCACAATTGCATTTGCATCGCTTCTGGTGGCTGCAAGTGTTTTGCAGTAGCATCATCATGTCCCTCAGCAGCTACCACGTAGCTGCCGTTTCTGTCCGTCCTGTTCGTCCTGCTAGTGCTGCTGTATCAGGTTGCTAAGTAGTTGCTGTGTTTTATTTACATACTCGTTCGTTAAGGGAGAAGAGTCTATTGGTTGTTTTGATATAAATCGAGATACATCTCGAATACACTTGAAGCGAGGCAGTTGATATTATATATGTATGTATACTATATACAATACATAGTCCGATATAGACTTTTAGCTTGAGAGCGACGCAAATAAGTTGTAAAAAATATAATATGCAAGATATGATAATTAAAATTGTTACTATGTATATAATTGATCAATATCAAAATGTTTATGACATTAACTTATATAAACGAGTTGAATATCATTATTGATCGATTATAAGCTAAATATACTTGTACTCTGATCGAATACTTTATTACTGTCAATTTCATTTGAAATATATATTTACTTGAGTTAAACTCTCGTCACGTATCGATTATCATTTATATCGAGACCTACAATTTACTATAAATACCCGTGTGCAGCTGCTCTACAAACGAATGGAGAGTTATATATAGACGCCCAAGGCGATTAGATAAAATGAACATTCACAGCTGTCCATTCTAATTCTAAGTTCATCTTACAAAATTTATCAGCTGTAAAAGCTAAAGAGAAACTCCCACTAAACTGACTTAGAAAAACTTCTTTGAAATTTTCAATAATTGAATGCGTGAACAAGCATTGCGTAGTCGTTGATCCCCCATTGTTAGGCTCTTAATTGCCCCACAGCTAATTTATTTACTTTGGTTTTGCTTTATTTTTTTATTTTTTATGACTGTTTCAGTTTTTTCATTTTTTTTCTTCCTAAACTGAAACATATGTTTTATTCCTCTCTAGGCTAGAGCTCTCGCGCTATGGAGAAAGGATCTGCAGGATACTAAGCCGCTGTCTGATTAGACGCTGCAGCCACTCGTGACCTGCTGCAGCACTTAGGAATTGGTGTTGACAGCGACGCTGAGAAATTGCCTCACCCACGTTACGCTTGCTTTTTTCTGGGTTACTTATGGAATATGTTAAAAAAATAATTAAGATTCACGTTTTCCCAGCACTCAGCTTAACACTTTCACTTTCCACAGCAGCTGCTGAGGCAGCCTCTGCCTAGCCGCGGGAAACTCTGCCAATCAAGCATATAAGATGAGCTCTGAGCAGAAGGTGCGCTTGGTCTTTGTCGACTTGCTAAGCCAGACTTTGAGGTTCCAAAGAATGTTCGGTAAACTTAAAGGAATTTTTGAAAATCTTTCTCTCGCTCTCGCTCTCTCTTTGTCTCCCTCTACATCATCACAAATACTCTTAAAAACAACCTTAATTACAATGGAGTAGAAGACATATATGTTATTGATAATAAACTTTGAGATTGAACAGCAGGTTCCGAATGATGGAGCAAGGCTCAGCTGCTGCTCAGCTCAGCAACAGCATCTCAAGCACTTGAATTTATCTATTCGTATAATCCTAGCCGAATCAATAATGGCACATAAGTGTGCTGAGGCTAGAATTACCTCACTTAAAAATCAAGTAAGAACGTTGCAGTCCCATTAAAATTGGAAAATCATCGATAGCTATTGCTATGATCATTGCATCATTGCATTCAAATTACATACATATATAATTTATACAATTTTGACTTTTAATAATATATATTTATATCCATATATTGGATACCGGCTTCAAGCTA